ACGTGCTTCCTCTGGGTGGTGTGGCAGTTGGACGCTTATCTTATCTTGCCTTAACCCCACTCTGGTTATTCTCAATCGCGTTGGCATCACCGACGAGCGTCGTGTCAACTGAAAAGTGCGAGTGATTGAATTTTTGCAGAAAATGTTCAGCACATATAAATTTGTACACTAAATGGAGAAAGCATCCGATGGAGCTACGTAGTTCATTGGTCTGAGTGGACGTCCTATGTGGGAAGGATCCAACGCTGAATGATTTGAATTGATTTCCCTACTAAATCATCTCACACTGTTAGGAAGTGATCTTTGTTTTATTGTCGCACAATGAAGCTTTCCTAAATTTTGACATGGGATGTTCTCCACCGTGTTTCGGTAGGACCACGCGCTGTCATTTATCCAGGTAATCACACGGTTTCTCCGTAGTGGTTTATGTACGTCTACATCGTTCTTTCGTGCATAAAAATCGAGATAGGTGTATCACTGGATCAAATGGCACAAAGCTGCATTCAGTTTTAAGTATATCGTAGTAGGATAATCATGAATTTCATTAACACCTCCAGCTTTGATGATGCGCTTTCTTTGTGTACGCACCAGGTTGCAAAAGTCAAGTATTCCAATGCTCTCAATTTCATTCCTTCTCATGAGTGCATGGAACATCTGCGAAACATCTTAAATGTTGCATTTTTGTTGACCGTTAGCTGTGATGCAGATGACAATGTCGTGTAGAACCTCACGTTCCAATCTTCATTCACGCAATCACATTCTTTTGATACCATTATTAGTATCCCAAACACACTCCGTACTGTCGTAATTTGGGGAATCCCTACGTACCGGACACGAAAACCTGACTCCATATACATAACGTGTGGAGGAAAACGATTCTTGTACGAGCTCTCTGGTCGCATGAAAGGATGTTGTTTGGCGCATGACTTGAATATAACCGGTGTTACTTGTTTTCCCTCTTTCCTGTTCCTAAATTCCAGCGAGGACAGTCGGTCCGACTTGGTTCGGAGTGATCGCCTAATCGATTTGCTAGGCTCTATCAACATCAGCTCTTGGAAGAAGGAGGCCTTGCGTGAAGTGAGTTTACATAGACCGTGAGATGAGATTGCCACCTTTGCGTCTTTTGATTGCCGATATTCCGTAAAGTGTCGCAGTCCGACTCTTCAGGTCTCTGTTAACAGCCACCGTCGGGGTTTATAACAGGTCCGTTCTTATTCTCTCCTTATATCTCAGACTTGGTGTCAGCTGTACCGCTTCTTGTCTTTTGCTGGTACTTGGTTTCCTAATCGATTCTACCAAGCTATTATGCCTCGCTGTTGTTTCCCCCCGGATGTCTGAACCCTGAAACTGCGTCCCATAGTTCTGCCTCAGAATCTCCAACTTTTTTGGACTGCAGTTATCACGCTCCCGTGGAAACCTATTTTTCTGTCCTCTTGTGTCCTTGATCAAGTACTGTATTTGCATGGAGATCTGAGTGCGAGTTTATCCTGTGTTGCTTAGTAAGAATGTGTTGGTTAAGGTGCCGATTGCATCCAGTGCACCCGATAAATAGTCGTCGGATCTTGGCGTTCCTAAGGGATATGCATGCCAACCAGGCTACATCCATCTAGAACTACATGCATTCTAACTGCTGCGAAACTCAGTTCGTTCATGTGTTTACCTTGTTTGTTCTTAATGTTTTGTTGCTGCTTTTCATATGCGCATCTTATCTTGTGCTAGTAACGCTTCTTCCTTTTTACAGGCATATGTGTCCAGTTTCGGAGAAAGTGACCTCAATGTCACTCAGTTTATGCAGCTTTTCCGAACACTTGATTTATCCTCGCCCCGATTCACGGTGAGAGCTTTTCTTTAATTTGATCTGTATCCTTTCAAGGTTCCCGCTAGTCATCGAAGTGGTGCCGCTACAGTAGGCATAGCTTTCTGTACAAGTAAAACAATTATTATATTTGTAACTTGCGTTTCACTTCGGCTGAGGGTTGACTTGCTTGGCTTCTTGCTTTGGCCTCACACAGCGATCGTTCATACAAAATAACTGTTGTTCAATCACTGCTTGTTGCTGAAAAATACCAGCTTGTTTGCTTGCGACTAGGATCACACAGATACAGAAAAAGAGCCAACGAAGTTTAGACAAACTCCAGTGCAGACAGTTAACAGAGCGGTTAACTACCGCCCGTAGCTTTTAGTTCCTGAAGGTACCCATTTAATGTGATTTGTGTGGAAGTCACAAATGCTTAAGCCGAACTATTTTGGACAGTCGTCAACCGAGGGCCTGATTGCTTATGGAAATCAGATCCGTTTAAGTACGCCGTTTTTCATCCATTGTCACCAGGACCTTTTGGTTTCTTTTTCCATCTGCTTCCAGAGGGATCGTCTTCCTCCGGTCAGTTCTCGTTTTGCGCAGTTTCTTCAGGCATGGCTTGTCTCCTACTCATTCTACAAGCTCAGTATTGCCGTCTCATTCCTGAATATAATCAACCTCGCGGTATGTTATCTTCAGTTCCACTACTTGTGGGCAGCGCCATTTGCAATACTTATAATCTTACCCTGTGTCGGTCACGAGTTTGGATAAAAAGATCAAAGTCGGTTGCATTATAACAGCCGGAGGAGACCGGCATTTTGCAGTGTGTCGTCGCTAGTGAGTGCGACACATAGCCTCTCAAGTTTCCTCTAATCTGTACACAAAATTTTCTTCGTTTTTTTACCGCTTCAATCTTCTCCTTAAGTTTCATTGCACCTAACCGTTCAAGATTTGTTGTTTCAAAAACGAGAGATTTAATCTTCCGTGAACAGAACTTCTGTTTCTTAAGAGCTACAATGATGTTGACATTTCTTTATCTGAGGTTGGAATATCAGATATGGTCGGTGACCTGGTTGCTGGGTGTTATTCGTTATGTATGGTCACAGGGATATACAAGCACTCAGCCTCATCGACTGCCAAAAGTGAGTTTTATTTATAAAACATTGGATGCAGGCTCTAAACTGTACGAATTTACTGTGTGGTTTGACTAGTGGAAACGCTGCAAATACCCGTCCGCCCCTGGAGGTGCCGACTATCGTCGTTTTGCATTAGTAAAGCTGTGTTGTTCAACCAAAATGTTACCGTCAGTTGTGATGATACTGAAAAGTAGTCAAGGTTTTATCATCTCATATGCGATCGAACTTGGTTAGCTTCATCAACACCCATCGGAAGTTTCCGATTCCTCTACATTCATCTGATGACAATCAACTAATACGAACGGTAGTTCTGATTCACACCACGTTTTTGTGTAAAACTTGGTGACAACAGTCAATCCAGATAAGCCTCAGATTGACGTTGTGAACTCATATTACCTGCGCATTTGCATCATCCAGCTCGGAGTTCACGAGCGACACCCAAAAACTAGTTTCCCTGCTTGACAGCCTTGGAGTTTGTTGGACTGACCCACTAATGACAACCCCAAGTAGCCTGCCCATCTGTCGCGACTTCCGAAATATTTCTGTCTCTTTATCAGTGGGTACTTTTTCCGATCTGTCAGTAGTTTGTTTAACACTTTGTGCTGACTGACTCTTCAATTCTCAGTTCAATACCCAAATGTAGCAATTCTAAGTCAGTTGTGTTCGCCGTCGACCAACTCGTGTCTCGAATGCGCTAAATTATTTCATGTTCTCAATAACTGGTGTGAATTCCTGGTTATTTCTCGGTTTCAAAACATGAGTAATGATGCTATCAGTTTCCTTTTGCTCTTTCTATTTTGGTTGATGCGTGACATTCTGTGTTTTTTTTAGATCGACATCTCTAGTCATCTCAAATCGCCTGGTGTTAGTGTTCAACTGAGGGTAAGCAGTCAGCATGCCTGTGTGTATCGTGAGGTTACAATAAACGTTCTTCTTTTCACAGGACATTTTAGCTTCACCTACAGCACCAATGCAATCTATTCTACACGTTTACCGCTTGCCTAAGTAGCATATTTGTCTGTTGCTATCCCCTTCGTCCGTTGGCTCTAAACTGTACGAATTTACTGTGTGGTTTGACTAGTGGAAACGCTGCAAATACCCGTCCGCCCCTGGAGGTGCCGACTATCGTCGTTTTGCATTAGTAAAGCTGTGTTGTTCAACCAAAATGTTACCGTCAGTTGTGATGATACTGAAAAGTAGTCAAGGTTTTATCATCTCATATGCGATCGAACTTGGTTAGCTTCATCAACACCCATCGGAAGTTTCCGATTCCTCTACATTCATCTGGTGACAATCAACTAATATGAACGGTAGTTCTGATTCACACCACGTTTTTGTGTAAAACTTGGTGACAACAGTCAATCCAGATAAGCCTCAGATTGACGTTGTGAACTCATATTACCTGCGCATTTGCATCATCCAGCTCGGAGTTCACGAGCGACACCCAAAAACTAGTTTCCCTGCTTGACAGCCTTGGAGTTTGTTGGACTGACCCACTAATGACAACCCCAAGTAGCCTGCCCATCTGTCGCGACTTCCGAAATATTTCTGTCTCTTTATCAGTGGGTACTTTTTCCGATCTGTCAGTAGTTTGTTTAACACTTTGTGCTGACTGACTCTTCAATTCTCAGTTCAATACCCAAATGTAGCAATTCTAAGTCAGTTGTGTTCGCCGTCGACCAACTCGTGTCTCGAATGCGCTAAATTATTTCATGTTCTCAATAACTGGTGTGAATTCCTGGTTATTTCTCGGTTTCAAAACATGAGTAATGATGCTATCAGTTTCCTTTTGCTCTTTCTATTTTGGTTGATGCGTGACATTCTGTGTTTTTTTTAGATCGACATCTCTAGTCATCTCAAATCGCCTGGTGTTAGTGTTCAACTGAGGGTAAGCAGTCAGCATGCCTGTGTGTATCGTGAGGTTACAATAAACGTTCTTCTTTTCACAGGACATTTTAGCTTCACCTACAGCACCAATGCAATCTATTCTACACGTTTACCGCTTGCCTAAGTAGCATATTTGTCTGTTGCTATCCCCTTCGTCCGTTGTCTTAGTGTGTGTATCAGTATCCAGATGAGTAGCTTCTACTCTAACATTTTTTTCAAGTCTGGTGTATGTTGTGAAACCATAACTGTTTTATAAAACAGACAGATAAGCACACCCTGGCTGTCTTAGTGTGTGTATCAGTATCCAGATGGGCAGCTTCTACTCTAACATTTTTTTGAAGTCTGGTGTATGTTGTGGAACCATAACTGTTCTATAAAACATACAGGTAAGCACACCCTGGAGAAAGGTTTGCTTAACGTGAGCCCATCCAAATCGCAGAGCGATCATGCGGTTGTTAGAGGGCAAATTCTCGATAGTCTAGTAAGAACCACTGGATACACAAAAAGGGGGATTAATGACCCAATGGTTATAAGACAGGCAAATTGCCACTTTGACGGACTATTTTTGCAGGTGGTAAGTTTAAAACCTCGACTGGGTTCTGCTTGCTGCACACACTTTTCTCCTTTTCTCTAGTACTTCCCAGTTGTTCTAAACGTAACACGCTACTATAAGGTGCTGGGTAAAATACCCGACATCCCACGGTCAGTTTCGCCCTTTTTAGGGCTCTTCAGGTAGGCACGGTCCGCCTGATTCCGCCAACCTGGTATTTTACATGAACCCAAATTGGACATGCTTTGACACTTGCTCTCATTCGCAAGCGAATTTGGTTTGGACAGGAGGCTGAACTGAATCCAGCTGAATCTCTCATTTATGATGGTATGCTTCAACTCAATGTGCTACACCAGCTTTACATTCTTATACCGTATAATTACCCTGGGCCACCCATCTTTTCTGAAAACCTCCGGAGAGCGAAATGCGCCCATATACCCATGTAGTGGTTTTGTTTGCTTTTGGTATTTTCGTTGTTTACTGTGCGATGTGGCTGAACTTCCTTCAAGATGGCTTCTCAATTAATGGAGCAACTCGTGTTTTCGGATGTAAATTACGAAGCCGGCAGACTCGTATTGGAACGTAAGATCCTCGTTTTGAAAAAGGCATTTAGGAATAACTTGGGCAGTGATTCGACTCTTAACTAATGAGCTATCTTGTGCTGAAGAACTTGTGTCACGTCCACCTTTCCTAGGTACATTTCTTAGCGCAGCGTAAATTGCATCTTGATTTTCAGATAACCAGTTGGTGCTTCGTCGCATTTTATCTGCTGGAACAAGTTGGTCTCATGTGGGCTTGTGGAGTGAAGCTATTCTTCTCCAAGCTGTCCAATGTGTTCAATCTGATTGTGGTCTTGTTTCTATTGGTGAGTTTACCCGTTTACCAACTTTTTGTTTCGAAGATGCTAATCGCTTTAATGTTATATGATTTCGATAATTCCATACATCCTCGCAACTTCCCGAGGTACACATGTGCATCATAGTTGCGTATTCGGATGGGGATGATCTCCAGATAGAGAGGACGACGTCGCCGGGCGATTCACATGAGGTTGTTATAAGTCTTCACGACTGTCGAGCTACCGTTCGGTTGAATACTATTCGAAAGCACAAACGATCATAGCCTGATCACCTCTGTGTGGATCGATTGCTCAAATTATTAAAATCTAGGTGATTTCTCCTCAGTGACTGAAAAAAACTAGAACGAATGTCCAGTTTACATCTGGACTCGATTAGAAGAAATGAGAACAATGGTGTTTTTCGGAACTGGTTTCGTTTGTCAGCTAACTTTTATCTCAAATGAGCTGATTCCTCTTGTTGTGTGTAAAGCGTGTGCAAGTGATCTATACACGTCTGGCCTATACCGTGCTTTTTGCAGACAGCGGACCACTTACGCAGTGAGTCTCATGTGAAGACAACGCATGGTCTGATACACCCCGTGAGAAAGTCAAAGAACCACAGTTGTTGCTTCTGCCGTAACCAACGCGCATAATGTGATCTTCAGGGCCCTTGCCTGGCCAACCGCTTTGCTCGTCGAACTCGAATACGGATTGCTACCTAGTCCTAACTTAAATCGACAGCTGTGTTTATAAATTACTCCATTTACTATTTTAATCTCCTATTGAATATCAACTCAGTCATGTGACCAGTGGATCCTCTATTGCGTGTTGTTTTCCTGATTTCCACAGATTGCTAAACTTGTCGAACTCGCTTTCCTGATTTATGCGAATGGGTAAGTTAACTTTGCAGGTTACTTGTTGAGTTACTTGCTTCACACAGAGTGTTCTTACATTATTGGGAGAACAGTCAGCTTTTCGGTACTACCATGTATTATCTATCTCCCATTGGGCAAACATAATCACCAAACTATTGAATACACAATGATCTCCCTAAATCCATGTAACTTGTGGTTATAATGTTGAACGAACTTGAACCTGTAGGCAGTTGTGATCGTAACCCACTGGCTGTTTCAGGTCGAATAGACAGCACTCTGATACTTCCGAGATTGCTTATCCGCAGTCGGCATCTGGTGCTGGGAGCCAAATGGGCTGTTTAGTGACAAGTTATTAGTCAAAACAAACGAGCACTTATTCTTCTGTCGTCAAAAGCATCTCGAAGTTGGTCGGCCATATATGGATAATAATGATTTCGTCCCACCTAGTCCTGAGAAACCGTTTTATTTTAGTTGTACGTGCTTCTGTTGGGAAATTCAATAAATCACATGCAGGTCAGCTCACTGACTATCCTACACACGACCAGCTCCATCGCTAGTTGCATTCCCTCTTCATTATTTCTGACTGTGACTTGTGATTTGACGTTTGGCAATTCGATATGTGTACATTGTTTGTCTGAACCAGACCTGACCCGTTTCCTTCAACTGACAGACTCAGTGCTCTCTACTAGGCTCTACCTAGTAAACTCGCTTCAGTGGACCACACAAAAGCTGGTGTGAAACCCATTAGGGTAATCAAATATCAATCACAAGATCCGATGATTGATAACCGAGTCTGTCATAGCAAGATGAATGAAAAAATTGTCACTACGATAAATACCCCCATTTTACGAAACTGCGCGTCCTATCGTTTATTACTCATAAGAAGCCAACAGTTCTTGCCGGCCTAACCCCTTAGTGGCTGCACCCGCCCACCGCATAATTCTTAGGACTAGTGCCAGCGAATAAAGTCCTATGGTATCATTACCTGCCATCAAGGAAACAGACCGAGAAATCAAGGTGACAACGCTCCATGTCTGGGCTGGAGGAATGCCCGTAAGGAGCTGTAATGATATTCTCAGGAAAACCAGCGGTACCCTCAGTTGCTAGGTTTTCTCAATACAGAGATTACCTATATTGGTATGTCGGATGAAGATTTTCTTGTGTAAATTATCCGTCTGCCATTATTTTTATCAACTGGCTAGTACTTCCTTTCACGGAGGATGTTCATTTCCTTAGCCATCTGTACATGCATAGCACCAGAATGTGTATTCTCTTTTATCCTCATATTTTAGGGAATCCCCTACCCACCTGGAGAATTTTCCCTTATGGGACATAGTCAACCTAACCAACATACTATTGCTCATGCGAGCCCTCCGCTTGGTAAACATGTTTGTATGGACCAGTTTGGTGACAAGTGTGCTCAAAGATCTACCGCGTAATCTGGCACCAGTGTTGGGAATCCTGCTATCTGTTTACTACGTTTACGCATTGCTTGGAATGAGTCTGTTTCATGGGGTAATTGTTTACAATGCGAATTCCAGCTCAACGTGAGTAACCTTATATTCGCCTCCTTTTCTTATGTAATACCTGTGCCTATGTGTTAAAGATAAGTCGTACTAGCGTCACCCGAAATTTGTCGACCTCGTGAATAACCTTGAAGTTGATCCATGTCCCGTATTTACTTTTCTCGCATTCTTTTTTGTTACGCAGAGAGAATCTCCAATGTGGAACCTACCAACAGCTGCAGTATTGGTCCATCAACTTTGACGACTTTGCTGTAAGTCGCCTATGGTGGTAGGTTAGCATTATTTCCACATATTACTTACTTTATAGCGACTATATAATGTTAAAAATGGGATAAACTGAAATAAAGTGAGGTCTTAATACACTTAAGGGTTATATAAAGGGCGGAACAGATGTGGCATCCAAGACGCACATCCGGTTGCTCAGATACCCATTGGATCACTTTAGCAAGTGGACTGTCTCTGAACAGTCTTCACAGTTTCTTTTAATCCTTCACAAGTTCGTTGAATGTCATTTTTACCGGCAAGTGTTGTAGACTAATCCAGGAAACCAACGGCTTATGTGTTCGACGAATTTCAACGGGACTGTGCGTAACAGCAGAACTAGGTATTCACCCACGGAAATGGATACCAGAGTGTTTTCACGAGACTTCATGCTGCGATTGATTGGTTAAAGGGACAGTTGATTTCCTTGACTAGTGAATCACCCTGCGGATACTGATTATTTACACTATGAATAAACGTCTTCCGGAACTGTTAACCATCAAATTAGGTTACTCGGAGCGAATATACGTTTCTCCGTATGACGAAGCAGCCGCACGATTCTGTATAATTCCTCCCGTTAATGTCAAAGTCGGTTTTCTTTGGACGCCATTTTCAACTGCTTGCAACATTTACAGGATGAGCGCAACTGCGATTGGCCCACCTTATCTCTATTCTGTTTGTTTAGTGACTAAGGGCGAGAGGGCTCAAGTGGTTAGAGCGCGAATTTACTGACCATAATGTCCGTAGTTCGAACCCAACCTCTAGCTCTCAACTTCCCTGTCTAGGCTTGGGCGACCTGGCAGTATCCCAGCACTCGTGCTTCCTTCGGGTGGCATGGCAGCTAGTTGCCGGGTGTTCCAGCTGAACGATTTATGTCATTTTTGTTTAGTGACCTTTTTTTAAACCTTTTTAACCCAAGGTCTCATACGACTGCCGCGGTTTTTCTTTCATTCGATTCATTCAGGCTAGCATCGTACTGCTCTGGGACTTGATGGTTGTAAACAACTGGCACGTCATTGTAACCGCATATCAACAAACTCTGAACAAGTGAGCCGTTTTTCTTCATTCCCGGTCCGTGTTACCAGAGTAATGTCTTCACACAGTGATCCGCTGTAAGCGTCGTCAAAAATTGTAAAAACTTGATGCAACGTTTGCATCGTTTATTTTGCATGGTTCAAGCAAATGGTATGTTACACAAAGATTTCATCTTAATTTTTCAGATTTTAGCAGTAAAAGTGGGTAGTGGTTTCCAGAATCAGTGGTTAAAGGGTAAATTTATTGACCGAAAGGTACTTGGCTCGAACCTAACCTCTGCGTCTCGCTGCCCCTGTTCGAGCTTCGGTAACCCTGCAGTATCTCCGCCCTCGTGCTTCCTTCGGGTAGCACGGCACCGAAAGTGTTAAAGCTGAACGAGTGTTTGTTATGTTTGGTACGACATACATCAACAGTAAAGTCGATCATATGCTAGGCGGATAACCAGTGTCTAAGCCGAATGGTGTTGCTACCCTAAAGTTCCCAAAGCTATGCCACATTATTAGGTAGGACTCTGAATGGGGTCGGGTACAACGTTACCGAATTTTTACTTAAATTTCAGAAAGACCTTGTGAAAAACAGTACCATATGGAGATCAGCTGGAAAGGGTACTCTTATGTGTATAAACATCGAGCAGAAGCCAAGGTTCGTTAATCTGTAATTGTCAGGTCCATTGTGGGGATCAGTAACTACTCAGACAGAACAGTACAAGTACTGTGTAGTGGTTAAATTGTTTGAATATGTTATCAGCTGATTTGACCAACACTCAAATTTATAACTAAATTCACCAACAATGCAACCCAGCCGCAGGGTAACAGCCATAAACCCAAGAGCCGTGTGGCCGATTTTTCGCACCCAATAAGCTCTGAAGAGCTTTCATGACCAAGCTTTCCGAAACTCAACCATGCCTCCACTGCAATCGCGAATGCTCTTTGGAAAATACCAGCCGTGATAAAATCATATTCTGCCTGCGCCTGACATATCAACTGGAGCAGTGGCGCTACGAGGTTTTCATGAAAACAAGTAAACGACCGCGTAGTGGATGGCACAGACTTCCATTCCCGATTAGTTGACAATGTATCCGACGAGAGTAGGCATTCGGTGCAAGCACATCCCTTGTGAACTGAAAAAGAAACAGGACTGAAAGGTACATAGGCATTTCGGCCCCGAATGCATCCACTGCGGGACTTTCCGAACCTAGGCGCGCTCATTGTGTAATGTTTACTTGTACCCCATTTGTCTCTATTACGTAGTTCAAAGATTTTCGTTCAGAGAGCGTATCGGTGTTCATGCTCTGTTATGCCGGATGAATAGAAGCGGGTTTTCTCGAAAAATTGTGAACAATTGAGTTTTCAGATTTTTCTGGAACGACGCGTTCTCGATAGGTTCCAAGATTTCCCCTGTTAGTTTAAATCCATGGCTCCTTAAAATGCGACCTTCCTGGCACGTATGTGATTGCCTCAAACCTTGTTCTACAGCATTAAAAGCCTGTCACCAGCTAAACAACGTGAACACGTATTCTCTGCAAAAAAGTCGGTTCCTAGCCAAATGAGCCATCATCAGCATCATCGACAGTATGACATCAGTGTTCAACACCGATGCTTCACTGCCGGCTAAAGACGCAGCAGCCAAAGGCTCTAGCAGGCATGTGCTGGTACCTTTTGTGAGTGCGCGTTCCTGAAGGAGAGCAATTGTACACCGCACAGTTGGAAGCAGCTGTCCGTGCTGGAGAAGAGGGAAATTCTGTTGCTTTCTTATACACGTAGTTCGACAGACAAAAAAACTGTTTTTTTAGCCCAGAAATCAGGCTTCCGCGTCCTGCTAAATGTGCATGAACTCCCACACTTAATCTTACCTCAGTTAGGTCGCACATCTGTTTCGGGCTCTATTCCTATTCTAGTCAAGACATCCTGGGCCTGATGACGCACTATTTTATACATCTGACCGAGTCAACATAGCTAGTCCATTTATATAAACCCATTTCATTCGTTACCGAAAGTCATTCCTTTGGGTTTCATGGCAAACGAAAGGGTGCCACCACTGACCGATTTTATTTGATTTGGAAATCCACTTGTCACTACCTCAGTGTTGCTTTTTCTCCTTTGATAGCTGGGTTCACCTTTATATGATCAGCTGGTGGCTCATCGCTCCCGTTGGACTCCTAAGTTTGGTTACGGCATTTGTGATTGAGGTGAGTTGGACGCGTTATTTTCCTAATCAATACACACTCGTTTCTCCATTTGCGGACGCGCAGACATCCAAGCGACCAGGGCGTTTCTGATCCTAAACTGTTGGCTATTTTCTATTCCACTTGGAACACGAAAGAAGGATTGTCAAACTGTTGGTCCCGGAGTTCCTCAGTGAAACCTTCGTAATTTTTTTCTCCATCTGAGGATGGTCACCTCATACTTCGTAACTGCCTGCCAAATATGGCTTAGAAAGTACATCAAACTTTTCATCACAACTGAGTGCGGCGAGCATTGGGTGAAGCAGCCCATTGCCACATAGCGTGGGTTTTTGGTGCGCTATGGGAGACACAATAGACGCAACGAACCAGCGTAAGGATGATTTTTTCACCCTGCCATCCGGCTTGTCTGCAAACCGGTCTTTGAATGCCTGTTCTCACCCTACTTTCTGGTCGTTGGCTTGTTCGCTGAGCTGGGCAATTTGGTTGCAAACGTTTCAACACCAATCGAGGTGACATCATCAGTGCGTAGTTGTGCGTAGCGCACCTGAGCTACCGACATTCTCCTCTATAGAAAACCGTACTTTCTCCCTAATTGTTAGAGAACCTGCAGTGGTGAGTGTGTCGACCATCGAGTACGTTGATTTGCCCACCGCGATCCACTGCGGTGAGCCGTCATGCACGGGCTCGTGAAATCGGATGCGAAGAGTGCTCTGATCTGAGTGCATTTAAACGTACATACAGCTTATTGTAAGATGTCCACCAGATGGATCAGCCATCTGGAAATACCGGTACATTTCGTGCTCCGACGAAGGGAGGCACATCAGCAGTTCAGTTTCCTAGATAATTCCAAAAGGCTGGTCGCACAACAGTGAACGATGAAAACAGCCGTCTGTAAAAAGCGTTTTCCAAATTCGTCAGGGATCGAAGAAGTGGAACGCAAATACTGATTTCTTGGCAAAAACAGCTTTGCGAATGGGGTTCATTTGACTTCCGCCCAAGCTTAGCAGGGGCGGGATGGCCCAAGTGGTTAAAGCGCGAATTTACTGACCGGCATATCCGTGGCTCGAACCCGACCTCTGCCTCTCGAATTCCCCTGTCTGGGCTTGGGCGACCTAGCAGTATCCCAGCCCTCGTGTCTCATTAGCGTGACACGGCAGCTAGGCACCGAAAAGGTGCTACATGTGAGCTTTCTTCAGCAGTCTGAGCGCCTGAATAAAAATAGACACGTGATCTGTTTGAGTTGACCATATAGATATACTTTCTCATGTGGGGTCTAAGTGCTGAATACTGTCATGGTTCAATACATGTAAGTTGTTAAGGGGTTATGAGACATTCACAGCCCGACTAATTCATCGAATGAGTTTTCAAGTAAAGCAACCATTGGTGATGTTTACCAATATCTACGTTACCTTACCATGTTTCTCCATGAAGTTGCCAGTTTCAACAGGTCGGCACTTAATTGGTTCCAGGCGATCAGGTGTTTGGGGGCAATAATTTATGTGGCACTTCATTTTACGGAACGCCCGGTGATACATGTTGAAAGAGGCCGATTGTCTGAAAACTAGTCATGTCTAATAATCCTTGCTTTTTGCGCAACAGATGTAATGAATACGGGGTAAATTGCATAAAAAACCTCCCGGTAATCTCGCATTTCTGTTCCTTAAGAGGGTTACTCGGTTCGACTAGACTGATATCTCTCTTGCATTTATTACATTCCAGAGTTTTTTGCATCGTCGTGACTTGTATTTCAAAGCTCTCGCGTTGGCCAGTCGCCCGAAGGAGGTGGTCCATGTTAGTGGTAATCATACACCGGACCTTACAGTCGGTCCTTCTAACGGTCCATCTGTTAACCACTCAAGAACAGCTCGCTCGTACTCGCACCACACAGAGACGTTTTCGGAGCCCATCGTTTATGATACGACACCAGTCACCGTGTTGCAACCGGAGCGATATGAAGAGCAGGTTTCCACAATCAGCACTTCATCACTGGACGATCTCTTTCGGTAAGTGTTGTTGAACTGTTCTTCGTTGTAGTCCCAATAACACCACAGTGCTGCTGGAATTCCTGTCTAATCTCACGGGCCAAAAATCGCGCTGTCATTTCCAAGAGCATTGTGCATAATGGCTCATGTAGTTGGTGGTCCATGTTTGTTCATTGCACATAATTGGGAAATGGTCAGAATAGATAAATCGGGTAGTTCACATTTCGATGCGTTCTGGTGAAAAGCTTCTAAAGAAAGGACGTAAGCTTATGCTTTTAGGTTGCTCAAGCCTAAACAGGAGTAATGGAAAAGTTTGAGTGTTGATTCAAACCACAGACGTCCTGGTTACCAGCTAACTCCTTAATAACTCAAAGAGGTTTGGTAAACGATTGGTTCTAAACATTTTCCAATTGATTAATAACTCATGAGTGATTTCGAAACCGTATACCTTCATGGAGGACGACTGAGCAGATTGCTCAGAAAAAGACAGATATTGCAGAGAAGAGTTCCGTAGCCTATAGTTGGTACTCTCATCAGACCAGCAGATGTCAGTCTCTAAATAGTGGACGAAGACCCCTTAGGATATAAAGCCGAAAGAGCTAACGTACATGAATCTGGCGTCGGCCAGCGTTTTCCCGTTAACATGGTTCAGGACGATGGTAAGACTGTCGCATAGTACAGGTTTATGACAGTGTGTACCGTAACTCCCAGTTTGAGCACTGAATGCAAACGATTTTGTTGCTTCACTATAACTGCCTTCTGTGGATCCTGTAGGTTCGCGCCCTTTTTCAGAATCCTACCATTTAATTCTCCGTTTTTTCGGGTATCCTCTCAACAGCGCCGCCCTTCAGGAGCCGTCTGAGGAGGAACTCTTATTACAATTGAACCAGCATAAACAGCTTCGGCGACAACGTCGTGCAGCTGAATTCGCCAACACGGTTAACCAAGAGAGCACTAACTGATCACCTCAGGACACAATGCATCTCGCAATAGCTTGCCACCATTGTTCAGAAAGATCCTATCAATTGCCTTCATTTTTTACCACCATATCCAATTAAATTATTCTATTCTCACCTGTTGGTGTACTGTTTTCTAATTTTGAGCATTTTCTACACCCACATGGCTGGTGTTATATCAAACTATCATAACCGATGGGTTTTGGCTTGTGACAGTCCACTGACCACTAAAATTGGCTGCTCATCAGTCCTGACGCAAGACCTGATGCTAATGTCAGAAAGTCCGTCGGAGTCTAACTCCGACTGAAAATTCTTCGACAGAACACGAGAAATTTAACACTCAGTCAGTGGTTGGGCTCTCCAGAATTTCACCATGTGAGGAGCATCGCATGGTCCGTGTCCATGTCTGGATCTTTCACGCCCACATTAATCCCTACAGATTGTGCGCATCTTTTACAATTTCCTAGTGCAAAGAACTGCTGCTGAGAACCTTTACAATAACAACCGGAGCGCTGTACTTATGTACATTTAAAGCCAACCCGCACTTGACTAAAACACACAAAAAACAATACAACATACAGCAAAGGGCAGTCTCGGTTTTAATGGAACACACTACCATCCATAACGTTGCTGAAAACTCCGACAGTCCAGGACCGGTTTTAATCGTCCTGGGCTAATCAGGTGGGCGCAGTTTTCGAGTTTCCGTCAAACTTCAACACCACACTGCATGCAGCTGGCGAAATAAGTTGGTATTAATGGCAGGACCAGCTAAGCAATCGTTTTCTTCCAACAAAATATTATTTCATATCGCGATCGTCCTGGCACACCCAGCTGAAGAATAGAATAAACGAGATCCAGCCAGCTTTCTGTTGAATCTCCCTTTTAATATCAGCCTAGTTTGCAGCTTCGGTCGCTTGTGTTAAGTTGTATTTGCAAGTATCAAGTTACTGTGCGAACAATAAGGCGTGCTTCTAAAGCAGAACTTGTCGCACAGTGACCACACAACTAACATTTGCAATGAATGCCGGTTTCCAATGTCCTGTTTTTGTTTTGTTTGGTGAGCTCAACTATTCCTTTAGGCAGAACATTTTAACTGAGACCTGGTCACAATTTGCCCATTGCACAACCTGAAGCACTCATTTAATCGACCGGTAGTCGGTAGCCTGTCGCACTACTGTTACCGTAGCTTCTATTCGTATGCACAGTGCAGCAACTGACCTGGCAATTTACAGCTATCATCGTTTTTTTGCATCACAGCAACACCCAAAAAGCGATGGCGACCTACGGCATGCTCTGATTGGCCAGTATATCAGCTAATTAGAACTTAGCGCGACCCTGTGGAAAATTACGCGATAACTTCATAAATACATTTGCACAAAAGGTTACCTCAAGCCAGCGCACTATTTGATACAACGCAGTTGGCGGAACATGAAGCCAAGGACCGACAGAGTGGTTGCCATGCCGTCCGCAATGCACAAAGTCCTCATCGCATCATTAAAAGAGGGTAGCTGAACCTGACCAGCTTTACTGGAAAAATTTCTCGCGCACCCTCAACTACAAAACGGAGCCAACAAGTACGAAATTCTGGCGCACTTAAAACATTTTGGAATGAAAGTTCAGTATATTTGTGTTTTTCATCGTGCAATCAACCGGTAACGTGATTGAATTTAGTTATTTAGGACAAGGTGTTTTTTTTGTTTTTCGTTTGTTTTTTGTTTGCAAATGCAGGCCTCATGTAGTTGTTTTTCTACAACAGTTACCGATATCGAAAATTCAGTTCCATATAAATACGCTGTTGGTGTTGAACCTCAGGAATGTATGTAATCTGCTCCCAAAGGGCATCCCATACTTGAGACTCTTCAGGACCTGGAGTACTTGGGTCAGTCATGGAAACAATGCACCTGCTTCTACTGAAATAGCCATGGTAACAAAGAAATGGATGTGATAAATTTGATGTGGGAGTAGCAGGCACCAAATCCAGTCGAGAGTGACTGTACTGACCCAGCAACACTGCCGTAGGAACGGTTTACGAAAAACACATTGTCAAAACGAACAGCATATAAGTATGGTACAAAATTAGCGACAAAATCAGATAGACTGTTATCACCTTTTATGTTTTACAGCCAGTTTCTCCGCTACATGTAGTCCACCAACAGCCACAGCAGTTTTTGGTAACGTCATTCTGGATTGACTGGGACGTGGGCCCTCCCAGTAACATTCAGCCTCATTGACTAACTGCATCAGCAGGACTTTCGCTGCAGCTGGTCGTATGCCAATGCGCATCTGACCCAACGCCCAAGTATCGATAACCTGGAGCATCGGATAAAGCAGGTAGTTTGTAAGTATATCCCGAAGACGAGGACCAATAGCTGGTCTATGGAGAAGTTCGGTGTTTTGAGTGCTTATTGGTTTATCGCCCATTTTCACTCGCTGGCAGACAGCCGACCGGCATGAAGCCATTCGGGATATGATACACTCCAACGGAGTCTTGATGGCACGAGATAGTTCTGGGCGAACTGTTGGATCGGTTGCATTTAATGCACTGTACGGGCGGCTGATGGCTACCAGGCAAGAGCACATGGCTTCCTCCAACTGGTCTGAAGGGTTTCTTTGGCCTGAGGGATCAAACAGTAGCAGAAAAAAGAGTAAGAAAGTGTGGAACATACTGCTGTTGCATACAAAGTCGTGCTATGTAAACTACGGATATACATTGTACCTGAATTTCATTCCATAAAGGTGTTTTTGTTGAGCTTAACTTGGTGAATTCACGAGTTTAGTAGAGAGCCAAAGCGGTATTCAACGTAACGCGACACTCCATTTCAAAACGGATTTTTTTGGTCTTAGGGTATGGTACATGTATGTGTATGCATCTGGTCGTCTGTGTTGGAAAATCAAGGCACGCCTTGAAGATCTTTGAAGCGAACACTATGACAAGTGGTACACGAATCCGACGTGTATAAATTATCGAGTACATAGGGAAAGCGTGCTTAACACGCGTCAAACAGTGCTCAACGGGGTGCCGTATTTTTTACTTCTGTTCTTCTGTTCTTCGGACACCACACTTTCAGACAAAACAAGATTTTGCGGTTTTATGTGTACCATGCCATTTGTAATTCTTCTCGGTGATTTCTTAATACCCACATTTGACCAGGAACGTTTTGCATTTTTATTCCCGTTTGTTTGTTGGCGAGATGTCTCAGTGGTCAGAGCGCGAATTTACTGACCGGAACGTTCGTGGTTCAAACCCGACCTCTGCATTTCGAATTCCTCTGTCTAGGCTTGAAAAACCTGATAGTATCCCAGCCCTCGTGCTTCCATCTAGGCACTGAAAGGGTGCTACAGCTGAAAGATTTCATCTCTAAGCTATCTTCATCACCCACAGCACAACACCAGCTGTCGTACAACCATAATTCACTTGAAGGCCTTATTGTGAAGACAAGAGTAAAAAAATAGGGAAGGGACTTGGTGCTAGTTTACCACAATCATTCCGAAGTTCGTACATCTCTATACACTCATTCAGACAACAAGAACGCCATGGACATATGATGATTAGGTATGCGTAATACGTAACCAAACCAATGCAGATTCTGGTGCTAGACGCACTCTCCGATTCTCAGGTGAAGGCAATGACCTTTCCAGGAATGAGTGAAAACAAAATTTAGAAAGCGGCAACCTCAAATGAAGATGCTTTTAACTGAGGCTGCTTTCATCGGAAAAGACCACTTTAAAGAAAGAACCGTACCTAAGGGTTCACACCGTACAAAGGTCCCACATCGTGGACATGCAACTAAAGGTACCGAATGAAAGTGCCACTCAAAAGTAACGTTTCTGAGCCTTCGTCTGTGTGTCTCTCTGTTCACACTTGCTTAGCTACAATCTATTCCGTTGTGAGTAGGTTTTCAAAATAACTAAGTATTTCTTACTCCAGGTAAACGCTGTCCTCAGAAAATTATCTCGCTTTCAGAAAAACGAAGTCTCTGAATTCCCCAACACAAATGGCACTACTTTACAGAAGACTGAGCAGCAACAAAAATCATGTACATGTCGTTCAAGCAGGGAGGTCGGTGGCAATTCACTTTCTTTACCGATTCATTATCTAAATGTTCCTATTGAGCGTAACCACTCATCATTATTCAGCCCCTACTCGTTTATTCGCCTATACAGAACACGTAAAAACATGTGTAGCCAAGCAGTGTATGAATATCGTTCGCAACGATCGGGATCTCACTCCAGTCATTCTGACAAATTCAAAAACTGGAACATGTTCTGTTCATCAACCGCGGGCCTAACAAGCTCCTGATGGCTTGCTTTGCTTGCCTGGGAACCGTGTAGTGCTGGTAGCTGTGACAATCACAATGACCTTTTGTTACTACCCGCTGATATTTCGGAATTCAATCGAAATATAATTCCAAAGTAGTCCATGTTCGGCGCTTAAGATGGATTGACCAGTACATATTATCGCTCAGTACTAACCAACCCTCGTGCCTTTTGTAACAGAAACGACAGATCACAGAAACGACATGGCCGTAGCAACAGCCGTGAAAAACACCGAGGATGGGTTTGGTTCCGTTATGTAGGGAGGTAAACAGTTGCGAATAGCCTGTACTTATCCATAGTAAGCGTGAACAACAAAACATGTTTACAAGACACGAAATCCCTTCTTTATGGACCACCAAAGTATCGCGTGGTGTTAAGAAAAGGGATGTCTGAAAATAAAACTCACAACAAGCAATATGATGACTAAAAGCTATCCAGTATTCATCAAAATTGTCCGGCATATTCGCCACTGACTGAGTTGGCAGGAAATGATATCCATGGCTTCAATGAGTTGTCAATATGCCAAAATAAAGGAGTAGCCTTGAAGATAATTACATTAAATCAGCTTCAAGAACTCGCTACAAATTTTCATTCCACGCCCAGCGAACCCAAATAATGTCTGATAAACGATAAAAATGATGAAAGTGAAACAATGAACGAACCTTCCTCTAGTCGATCAATGACAGCGATGACTACGTCGGTAATGAGCTGCAGGTACCAGTGAGGTGATGCCAAAATCTGGGAGCGGAAGAGGGCTTGATAGGCCGTGATGAACCGAGACAAACAAGCAACAGCCCGAACGAAACCAGACTGAGACAAACACTGTAATGGAAAAGCAAATAAGAGCGTTCCAGTGAGTTGATGAGATCTGTATGGGGTAAGACGTAGTGCTGCGAAACGTGCAGAGAGTGAGAGTTAATCGACGACAGCTAGCTTAGAGCAAAAGCTGTGGAGATACTAACAGGTGACTAGTCCCCCCTACCAGGACCACTGGGAAGTCATTCAGCTATGATCTGTCCAAATTGCATTATTCCACTGGAATGTACATCACTGACATCCATTACAATCTGAAAGAATGCCAAATGACACCTCTACGGGGATACTGAATATCGACCCGCAAGAAACTGAATATTCTAACGCACTAACCCTCTAGACTCCTATGTGTCCACAAAATTAAACAGTACATGCGAGATGAAGGCTTACCTCTTTACCAAAGCAAATCTCTTATAATTATGGGATGTAAAGTTGTTAAACCTAAACATTCACTACTCCGAATGAATCGGGTGGGAAGTAATTATTGATGATACTCCGAATGAATCGGGTGGGAAGTAATACATGTATTGATGATCTCTCTGTAGTTTCCACAAGTGAAGAAAAAGATTGCCAGTTGCGTTTTGATAACGTCAATGTAATGGCAAGTGGAACTACGAGACAAGTGAGGGAATTCCTGGAGGCGTGGCATTTCATGGCAAATGCAGTTAATCACCTAACTATACTGGACCTAATCTAAGTATCCATGTGAGCAAAGAAGCGCCAACTCAGTGGAACAGGCCGAAAGAATCCCACCGATATATAAGGGGACCACATGTCAGGATTAGTCACGGGACCAAAGGGATCGAGGTTATCAGGTACAAATCTGAAAACAGCTCAAAAACCATCTAGGCGTCGGCAAGTCAGAAGTCGCGCCAACCAAAAGGATCGACCGTCAAACGACCACTCACAATTGGAGGCTAGCTCCTAGTCAACAGATCGTATATGAACATAGACGCCACACACCGACGCGCCACCAAACATCGACCCACCGCTAGCCCGAAACCCCTAGATTGGTGACGAAACTGTTATAACTTGCTGGACGGTAATGCAACTCTGTGTCGATCCCTTGGCTTCCTGCTCCGCCCACTATGGTATAGCAAAAGGCACGGTAGCTGTACACAGCCCTTTATGGAGACAAAGGAAAATCAGTACAACTGTTTATATATAGGGTAGTCACAGAGTGTTCCACAAGGTCGTGCCAGAATGTCCGTGAGGGGGCGAGAACCGTCGAGTCAAGGTGCTTGACTCGGATTGGCTGGCATTCTGACCAATCAGGGCATGCCTACGTCTGGCCCGTGTCCTGCACGTGACACATGCATCCAACTGATGTGATGTTCGGTCATTAGGGACGGCTGGCCCCCGAACACCCTACCAAGCTTGTTCACGACGAACGTATGATCCTGTAACCCAAAACCACCCTGGGATGACCAAACCTTTCTCTTCGTATGCATGTTAGCCAAAAACGGAGATATTGTTGGTTCCATTGTCAGGTCTCATTCGTGGTGGAAACAACTCAATCAAAAAGCGATGAAGCCTTAGGCTTATTCTAGGGTCTTCAACGTCCTCATCTACAGAGAATTGCGTCCGCTGTTACAGTTTTGTGTCTGCCTGTAGTAAGTGCTTTTCTACCTCGAGAGCGTTGGTCTAGTTGATATCAAAACCAGCAAAAAATTTCATCCAGTTCGAACGAGCTATTTTTCAGCAAAATCGTACCAAATCTGAATGAACGTGGATCACCTGCCGGTTGGTGGTTTTAGGATACCTACTGGGAATCTGACCAGTTCGTTTTCATGTGGTGATGAACCTGTGTTATCTACTGTTGGTCTTAGAGAGATGACTATCATGGGGATTTTAGGCATTTATAGATCTTCGCTGTGGCGGTGCAATATTTGGAGATCCGAAGGGTAACCAATGGACAACCACAATCGTGAGCTGATCATTTGTGGTCAGTCGCATTCGACTTTCTGTGATTGATGGAACTTTTTCATTTTCATGTATGGTTCCTTATCCGTATCTGCAGCCGGACAGATGTCTCACGATACTCTTTCAAACACCCTTTGAAGCCCAGGCTCATTTTGCCGCGATTGTCAAAACGAGGATATCCTTCGCTCATTAGCTTTGTTGTTGTAGAAAGCTCACAGCTCTAACTTGTATATTAGACTGTTTCGGTCTTTTTCTAATCCGACAACCGAAGATAGAAACCACAGCTGCTCTTGCATTGAGAACGAAA